TTAGCATGGAAATATTTATAGAAAATGTACAGGGAGGTAACCTTACGGCGGTCGGAAAGTGACGGGTCAGGACCAATATAATATTATTGGTCCTGACCTGGCGTATCGACTTCTGTCACTTTCTCATGGACAATGTAAGGTTAAATCCCTGTATTTTCTATAAATATTTTCATGGTAATTGCTTTTATGCTTTTTCTGTTTTTTGAATTTATAAATTTAAGTGCAGTACTAGACTGGCTATATGGTATCATGATTTTACAATTAAATTGGCTAGATGTAACCGTAAGTTCTATGCTAACAGTCTCTTTTATCGCTTTTCTTGCTTGTGGGACTCTCTTCCGACTCCATGCTTTCCAGTCAACTTTGATCATCCAAAATTTAAATGCAGTTTGTAATTCACATTTTGGGATATTTCTTTTACTGAGAACTATATAATGTTTTCTTACAGTTGATATTTAATTCTTTCTTCTCACTTTCCTGTACTACATTCTGTAGGCGTTCTTGTAGTTTTCTTTCTGTGTCTGCTATCAACACTATGTCATCTGCATATCTAATGTCATGTGAGTATCAAATTTTCTAAGCCCTTTTTCTTCATTATGTACACTAGAAATTTCAAATCACTCTTTCTGATGCTAGGAACAATTATCTTTTTGTTTCCATTGTACTTAAAACTTTATATTTTATGAAATACTAAAGAGAAAAATTATTTAATAAAATCGCCATTAGCTTCAACACGGCCTTCAGAAGAGTTTGCTTTCTCTTTGTTTAAGTTTGTAAATGCTGCCATAATCCTTGCCTTCAGTTCATCTTTGTTGTTACAAGGAGTTTTGCTGGTCTCTCGTTCAACTCGAACCCACACAAAATAATCAAAGGAGTTGCAGTCTGAGGAATTAGGTGACTAGATGTAAGGAATGTGTGGTCGCAGAAATTGTCTGACACCCATGATAGGGTTCTCTTGCTTTTGTAGCATGGTGCAGCGTCCTGTTGCCAGAAACAAGGTCTTTCAACATCCACCCTTTTGACCCAGGACAGCGCTACCTCCTCAAGGCACTTGATGTAGGCTTCCATATTCAGTCCTCACCGCCAAATTCTGGAGTTCTTTTCTTATCAGAACGATCAGAGTGAGTTTTCCGAAATTCCGTACCTTCGTAATCACCATTAGACTCATCTAACTCTTTCTAAACCCTCTTCTTTGTCTTCAGATACACACCCAAATCCTCTGAAATGGTCGTATTGGACATTCCCTGCGAATGCTAAGCAGCACAATATGGCGTTTCCAAATTTATGACGGATTTAATTGCGTCATGGTGCTCTTTTTCTAAAATTGACCCAATTATACTGTGCAGTCGACAAAATCAAAAACAAACAACGCGCATGCGCAAAATTAAAAATATTAAAATGGCGACAATTTACTCTTTGCATGAGGTAAAATTAGCTAAAGAAACTCCAGGGGACCATCCCCCTCAGACAGAAACTTTCTTTCGGAAGATGGTTGGGGTGATTATCCGGCGGCTGAGGCCTTCCCGGAGGCGGAAGGGCCGAGCGGTGTTTAAGCAATTTGCTCACAGCATTGACGTCAAACCCACTTTAAACCTTTCCCTTACATTCGGTAGTGATACAGTCGAACTGCAAAAAAGAAATAAAACTACAATTAAATCAAATAAATATAAATAAATAAAAAGAGATATATATTCACACAAAAAATATATATATATACGCACAATTCAAACACAAACACACACACACATATATATATATATATATATATATATATATATATATATATATATATAAAGGAAAAGAGAATACATTAAGGTTCCATTCGTTATAATTTAAAGGAAGAATAGATATAGATAGATAGATGCAACTTTGCTGTTACGAAAATACGACACTAAATAAAAGTGACTCAACTGTTAGTTAAATATTTATCTGGTATCTTTAACGCTGTTCGATATATATATAGGATAATCTTCAAGTACAGAATTGTGTTTTAAGGTATCTGTTTGTTCACCCATATCCTTGCATTCAAAATATGTTCTTTTGATAGATAGATAGATGAATGATAATAACTTAAATAATAGATGAATAGATGAAGAACAGATTTATATATACATATATATATAAATTGTCCGTTCTTCATTTTATATATATATATTATAATATATATATATATATATATGATATTTATTGAATAAATAATAAATACCGCGTTTTATAATATATAAATAATTATACATATATATATTTATTTAAATATTTATATACATTTTTTAAAACACACACACACACAATATATATATATATATATGGATAGATAAACAATGGAACAAACTTAGATAGATGAAGAACAGATTTATATATATATATATATATATATATATATATATATATATATATATATATATATATATATATATATAAATTTTAAGATAAAAAAAAGATAGATAGATAGATAGATAGATAGATAGATAGAATAATAGATAGATAGATGCAACTTTTACTGTATATATACTATATATATTTGCAATCTATTCGTTTTTAGTTTTTATTAAATCAAGTAATGGAAGTGGTCTTAAAATAAAACGATACACACATATCACGCAGACTTTTTTTTAGACTTTATATATATATATATATATATATATATATATATATATATATATATATATATATATATATATATATATATCTTCTATGTCAACATAATGGACCATCATCTTTGATAGTGAATATCTTTGTTTAATTGTCCATATAAAAACAATCTGTAAATGGTTCCTTTGATCCAAAAGCTTAGATCAAGGACTAACATAAAAAAATATCAAATGTTGGACAATTTTTGTCTTTATTTTCTCCAAAACTTAAAGGAACCATACGAGGTTTAGAACGGCTCATGATCAAACGTAATAGGCATTCATTGTCTGTTATATATAACAATATATGTTTGAATAATGACCTTACCCCAGTACACTATATATATGTGTGTGTGTGTGTGTCTGTGTGTCTGTGTATATATATATATATATATATATATATATATATATATATATATATATATATATGTGGAGAGAGAGAAATAAGTGAAAAGAGGAGGAACCAGTGAGAGAGAGAGACAGTAGGAGTGATAAAGGTCTGTGTGTGAGAGAGTTTTTTTCATTAATACAAATATAATATTTATCACTTTGCTGGTCGATGTTATATTCAGCTTCCTGACTCCAGATTTTCGTAGTCACATCACTTTGTAATCGCTCTGTCCATTCGTCAGTAGCTATCAGTATTCTTTTTCGTTCTTTTTTTTTTTCTCCCTTTCGGCTCTGAGTGCCAAATATAAAATATAGACAGATAAATAGATCGACGGACTGTCTTACATGTTGTTATTAACTGAGTTATTTTAATTTCTACTCCATATTCTTCAGACAATATGATTAATGGAAAATGTTTCGTCTTCTGCAGCTTATCATTTGTGGGTTATTTAAAGCCAGAAAATATTCTAGAAGTCTTACTACTTAATCCATAGCTGGGAGATATGTAGTGTATTCCCACGTAAGTGAATATAAGTTTTGGCAGTGCTATCGATACCTTTAATGGAGAAATGAGAATCGTGAAATTTGACGCATGCCACTTAACATTAGGTTAATTATGGCCTGTTAGAAGCAAGTTCTTGTATTCTAGATGAACCATCTATATAGGTTGGTGCAGTTAGGCAACAGTCTTTCCTTTACTCAAATATGTTTGCAGACCAACCAAAATTCTTTGTTAAAGATTTCTTATTTATTTTATCTATATCTCGAACGATTTTCTTTGTTTTTGGTATATATATATATATATATATATATATATATCAAAACTCGGCATCCGATTTATTATTCCGAAACGTTATCCATTACAATTGTTTTTTTACAATTGATTACTGCACCTTATGTGGCCGTAAACCGATAGTATATGTTTAAATTAAAGCGACCCTTAACTCAGGCCTATACAGTGCGTGTAGATCTTCAGGCACTTGGGGTCGATTGTCAACTCTCAAAATTTCGTAGCTGGAATTGAATTAAGGTATTAAGTTTGTGAAAGAAGTTTTCACCTTTGGATTAAATTAAGTTTATTATTCAAGATACTGAAGTAAGTAACGTTTATTTATTTTATTTGAACTTGAAATACTTTATCTTTAAACAAACTTTTTCGGTGTGAAATAACAAAGAAGTTTCATATAGAATTTTATCAAAAAAAATAAATAAATAAAAAGTTAATATAAATTAATATTTTTCTGTATGCTGTTGTTCTTCAACAATGACGATATGAAATTAATTTTTTATGAATATTTTATGTTTTACTTTAACAGAACAAACAGGTATTATCATTTTTTTAAAGTTTGTTGAATTTTTCTGTTTGTTTTTTTTTTTTTTTGTTTTTAAGCATTCCAAAATACAAAAAAATAAAATGTACACTAGTACGCAAGGGGTTACAGAGAGTTAGAGCGAGAGGAAATAGGACTGATAGAGGAAAGGATGAAGAGAAGAATAGGGGATAGATCAAGGCATCTGGAGAGGTCGATTGACATTACATTTGAATAGTTGGCGATTATAGCTATCAGGAAAACAAGAAATGGGGAGGGAGTTCCACGGGCGAGAAGTGCGAGACATGAAGCTATTGGAGTAGAAGAGACGGCTACATTTAACAGTTTCGACAGTGAAAGATGGCAGCCTAGTTGAATGCTTAAATTCATGAAGTCTGGGAACCAGCGAAAGAAGCTCATCGGAAAAAAAGACAGAGGGAGTCAACGGCACGTCTGTGAGAAAGCGACTGCAAACGAGATGCCAGATCAGGATTTTTTACATTGCATATCCGTCTTTGGATTTTATCAAGGACCTCGAGACAAACAGAAGGGGCTCCAGACCATATATGGCAGCAATACTCCATTCAAGGGCTTCTGTCATTCCTAAATAAAAATTCTTTCTTCTATGTGACGTGTCATCCACTTGCTTAAGCCCGCCAGGTATGTCACGCGTTGTTTTCCCTTGTTTCTCTTTCCCTCTATTCGACCCGTCAGTATCAGATTCTCTGGGCCCTACTTCCTCATTATGTCCCAGGAAATTCAGCTGCCTATTCCTGATATTAAGTAATAGAAGCGTAGCCCGGTGTTGCCCGTGCTTGATTCAAAAATCGTACGACTCATACAGCAATCGCTATCACTTCACTTAAAATATTTTTGCCCTTCCTTGCCTTTAAAGGATTGCCCTATGGCGTCCTGATATTGCTACATGCCTTACTTCTTGCCTATCTCACACTGTAAATTTTTTCTAAGCTCTATACCAAACATTAAATCTGTTACGAAAAAAGAACAAAACAAAATGAACACAAAACGATCAGCTTTAAAAAGGACTCGTAACTGGAAAAACCGAATGAAAAAAAAATGTTAACAACAAATACTTTTTCACACCCAACCCAGTTCTGCGGAATCAGAATCAACGTTGAGTTTAAGCAAGCGAATGAGCCAATTGGAGTAAAGTGCCATGCAGATTTAAATTTTTCCCACTTGTGACGAATGCAGCTATCGATTTTTTTTGCATGCTAGCATGCTAGTTAACATTCTTGTCAGTCAGCTGTTGGCTCTCACGCTGGCCAATAGAATCTTCCTGCCTATTCGTGGCAGCCAGCTATTGGCTCTCACTCTGGCCAGTACAAAATTGCCGCAAACTACATGAAAACTGCCGTAGAAGCATGAAAAATCGATTATTTCCACTATCGATGGGAGTTGGGAAATGCAAAGTCGGTCTTTGGCCTTCCCACTAACTTGGAGCATGTACATGTAAATTTTGGTCCAAATCCGTCGAAAATTGCGGCCGTGCATTCATTACACACACACACACACACACACACACACACACACACACACACACACACTTTAAATACACACACCACACACAACACACATCCTGCCTTTTTTTTTAGAATAAGTCTCCTCCTTATTTGCATTATCTCTAAGACCTCATCTTTAAAAAACACGCTTTGAATATTAAAAAAAGAATCGTAACGTTGTTTCACTGCGAAATTAATGAAAAATGATACTTATTAAAGAATTTATCACAAAGTTAATGTCAAAATTTAAATTCAATAAATTTAATATTTTACAATTATTAAAAATATACACAAAAATCTAAAGACAATAAAATCATTAGTGTCAGGTTAATATTGTCTTTCTTTTACATTTTTTTCGATTATTTTAAACAGCAAAATTCGTAAAAAAGTCATTATTAAGAATTTTCTCACCGAAAGTTTATTTAATTCTTTTTCTTTATGCTATTATTCTTCATAGTAACGAATATCTTGATTATAAAATTCATTTTTTAAAGAATAATTTGTTTTTCTTTTAACATGTGAAGCGCAGTATGATGATACGATCCTTGTAAGAACATAAAAAAATATAATATAACTTATTATCCGGCTAATTTTCAAAAATGACTATATAGTAATTTGCGCATTTGTAAAAATTTGAATAAAAATTTAATTTAATATTTTTTTTCTATATTATTCTTCATAACAAATATATTGATTTAAAAAATTATTATTTACGGGTATTTTTTTTAATGTATATTGAATGTTACTAGCGTTGCTGTTGTTAAAAATGTAAAACAAATTAACCAGTTGCTTACTTTTAAAAATATACTGTAAAAATATTAAACTGGTTAGTTTTGTTCACATAATCGTATTTTATTGTGGGTGGGGTTGATTGATCTGCGCGCGATTATCCAAATTTTAACGAGGAAGGTTCAGTTTGCTGTCTAACTTTAACATAAGAAGGACCCAAGCCAGTGAAACAGTTTTGGAAATCTTTTGGAATCACGAAATTCCTTAAAAACAACGGGAAGTATGATAAGATGACAAATTTCCACATTCATATAGACTTTAAAATTCTAAATTCTGAATTCTAAACTTCCAGACTTTAGAAAATACTGTGTATATACTTCTCATAAGGATTATTTTTAATAAAATAAAAGTTTAAGTTAATATTTTTTAATTTCAGTGCCCCCAAATCTTTCTCAAAATGATCAAAAAATACTGTGTAACAGGTTGTCGTGTTGACTATAATTAAGAAAATAAAGTTTGTGTATTTTGTCTTCCCCAAGATCAGAATGAACGAGAACGGTGATTAAAGGAGACATCACCTCTGACAAACCAAATGCTGTTGTTTGTGGATGGTATTTTTCATCTGATTATGGCACGGTTGTTATTACGAGAACGATGGGCATCTTAGTAAAATGTTTACATGTAGGACCAAAAAACTTATTTAAAACGATCCCAGTTACAAAATTAGAGGCAACTTTTTATATGAAAAAATTATATATTGTTGATGAAATAGGATGTGACAATAACAGAGGCTATCAATCTATTTTCAAAAATTTGACATTGTTTTAATAAGTACTGGATAAATAAAAATGTACTTAACTTTTTGATTATGTTCACCTTTTTAAAAATATTCGGAAAAACTAGACTATTGAACCTACT